CATTTCCCTCGTAGGCACCCTACTGCAAAAATCCCACTTCAATCTCCTCATTTTCCTTTTCCTTCTTTCAATGTGAGCTAATATTACACCATAAATTCTCAATAATAACATAGTTCAGTGATTCAAATTTTGCAAATGACAAATGATAACAATAATGACACTCAACGCCATTGATGTGTTCATCTCCTCAATCTAACACAACACAGCCAAGAGTAATTAACATTAATCCAACGATGATGAACGGGATTCAAAGCATCACAACACAATCAGTCATATTGCTCAAATATAGGACAAGGATTATAATCTGGTTCAGTGCAAATAATGAGGTAGATATATGTTAACACATGTTCAACTCATGTACTAGTTTGTAAATGCATGCTGCCACAATTTTTATAAATTCATTTATCCTATCCCTTCTCAATTTCGAATTTCACATTTAGTCAAAAATTATTTTGCAATTTCATGTTATGTTAAATCCATAACATCACAGTTTACAACACAACTCACAGCTCAATACTGCTTAATGCTAAAAATTTATTTGCAATTACATGTAATGAGCATTCCAATATATGGATGACTACATACAACATACCTCACATGCTCCACCAAGACAGCTTCATTTAAAACAACACACACAAAACAAAACCAGGGCCAGTGGGAATCTTGGAAGTTCACGCAGAAAACAAAACCAGAGTTTTTGTCATGACAATTTTGGTTAATATATTGGAATAAAAGGTAACGTAACTAGGAAAGTAGAACTCGACTGATTAAAAAACTCATTCACCTTCCAATCTCTGTCTTTCATTCTTTACTATGACTGAGGAAGGAAAAACGATGGGGAAAAAAATTGAGATGATCCTACTACTTCCTATTTTTTATATTTTTTTAAATATATATCTTTACAGATTTTTTTACTCCCTAGGTTTTTAATTTTTTTCATTATCAAGTTTGCTTGGAGCGAAAAGTAGATGAATGAACAATATTATATATGAGAAATCAAAATATGCTATCAGTGTTTTTTGTCCTTTCAATTTGATAATCACAACTTCATTTAAAACAACACACATTACTGGACTCATTGCAACCATGGGCAGGTTAGACTCATGAAATAAATGCTTTCACACCTAAGGCAAACCTAAATCATAGTCAAACTTACATATATATTCTTCACAAACATGCATGCAGGATCGGACCACATCAAATATCTACACATCATTTGGGAGTCTTAATATTATTTCCAAACAAGCACAATATAACATCACTGATCGCATATGACTCGAAGTTGTGCTGGGTCTAAGATGACCACAACACATAAGCTACAAATGAACACGTGTATAAAAAAACAAAGATCCAAAAAAAATTAGTTTTCCCTCACAACCCAAATATGGACAAATGAAGTCCAAAACAGAGTATGACCCACCTCAGCAAAAATGGAAGTGACTTTGGTTGAACAAAAAACGATTTCCTTCAACACGTTCTAGCACCCGGACTGCAGATATGAAAGAAGAAATTAGATGGAAGACTAAATAGAAGGCAAGTGTCATACAAGGGAAGAGTCATACCGACAACAGAAGTCACATGCAAGGAATCGGCTTCTTCCTCCTCACTTGCGCGGATAGGAAATGGAGGGAGAAATGGCAGACATAAGGCTCTTTCGCGCCAATTTTCCACACGCCTTTTATCCCACCACCAACCAGTCAAATCAGATTCACCATCAGTGCACAGATCGTACAAAAGTGAGGGTTATTTTCGTATTTGCATTCGCGGTTCACATTTCACTTCCCCGGGCAAACACGAAAGTCGTTTTTGAGTTGGACAACATGTTTCCATTCTTTCGATACAAATCATACATGAAATGCAAATAACGGATAAACTTGTTGCCGGGGATATTTATCATTTTTGTGTTGCCAAACATGGCTATTGCAAAATCCAGATAGCACTTTCCCAGGGATGCAAAAATTATCCGAGTACCAAACGGCCCCTTAAGGTCATGTCCGGATGGTCAACGACCACTTGTGATGGCCAATGGTTACAATTAGTAGACTTAGACGTTAATGTTACGCTAATGCAATATATCACATGAACGCTTTGAAAATATTTTAAAAGATATTTTGAAAAAAGTTTACTCGTATTTTTATAAGACACTTTATTATTCTTTAAAATAAAGTTTTCCGCTGTGTATGCTAAATATTATGGATATTAACAACCGGATATTACGGGGTGTTACAAATAACTTATCCATATATATATATATATATATATATATATATATATATATATATATATATATATATATATATATAGGGTTTTATAAGAGTTATGTTGTAGGAAAAGTAATTGTGTTATGTTATAGAGATTCGTTTTGCGTGCTGGAGTTTTTTTTTTGCTGCGGGACCCACAAAATGTTGTGTGTATAGGAAAATTTTTGTAGTTATGTTAAATGATAGATGATAAACCTATATATATATATATATATATATATATATATATATATATATATATTCAAATTTCTGTAATCTTTTTGTTTTAATACAACAATTTTCTTCTTTTTTTGTTGTTGTTATTTTCATAATCAGAAGACATTATTGTTTATATTCCTCATATTTTGTGCCTTTGTAACTAAATAATTTAATTTGCGTTCATATAATTGCTTTACAATGTTAAATTTGACAAAGTATTACAAATTATTTTTACAATTAATACTATCTCACCCATATTTTTTTAATATTTGATATACAAATACAAGTTGTTGAGTACGGTCATTTACAAGAATTAATTAGGTTATCTTAAATTTTTTATAATCCATACAACTAAGTTTTTTCTTCTACAACACAGGAATCCCCTCTCGTCGATTACGATTACTAATCTGCCATTCTTCGTTTTTTGTCACGTTGAGCTTGTCTTTTTTGTTGTATATTCTTTAATTTTATCAAATTGCCGTCTTGCTATTTTTTTTTTTAATCAACAATCAATGACCTTAAAATTTGTACATAGCATTCCAATAAGTTCTATTTTTTTATTTTATCAATAATAATAATAATAACATTTGTATAAAGATTATAACTTATTTATATTAGTAACGTTGATCTAAATTTATAAAAACTATATAAATTTAATAATTACATGTAAAAAGTTGTAGACATCTTCTCTTCATGCTGTATATAGCATTATTTTATTTTTGCTCTGACTTATAGGTAACTAATCATTCGAATGCTGTATATCTCCCTAAACAATTACTTTACCTGAGGTTTTATAAAAAATTTAAAACCAGAGTCAAACTAAATAGGGGTCAATTAGTATATCTGTAAAAATATTAGTCAATCAAAAACTGAATTAAACTTTTGAAGAAAATGTTTGTAATTTTAAAGAATATAAAGTTATGTCATTCTAAGTAAGAGAAAAAGATAAATAATTGGGGGAGAGAGTGAACAAAAATAAAATAAAAATAAAGATATGAATCTCATCTCTTTGTAAAAGTGAAATAACATAAAATATCTTACTATATAGAAAGGAGAACCAAACTTTTGAAAATTAGCTGAGGTGTTGCATTCTCCTTAAATCTCAGCTTTCTGTTCACACTAGAGGATGTCTTGAAAACTTACTTCTTTTCCATGTAGTGAACAAAATATGTATGTTTGAATTTCTGTTCACACTAGAGGATTCTTTCCGTTTTAATGTAAAAAAAACTTTTGAAAATTAGCTGAGGTATCGCATTCTCCTTAAATCTCAGCTTTCTGTTCACACTAGAGGATGTCTTGAAAACTTACTTATTTTCGATACAGTGAACAAAATATGTATGTTTGAATTTCTGTTCACACTAGAGGATTCTTTCCGTTTTAATGTAAAAAAACTTTTGAAAATTAGCTGAGGTGTCGCATTCTCCTTAAATCTCAGCTTTCTGTTCACACTAGAGGATGTCTTGAAAACTTACTTCTTTTCGATATAGTGAACAAAATATGTATGTTTGAATTTCTGTTCACACTAGAGGATTCTTTCCGTTTTAATGTAAAAATAGCCGAATCATTAAAACAGGTGAGTGATTTCATTTCAAAATTCAAAATTTTAAATCAGCTGACTCATTAGGTATTTTTGGGAGTTAATTAAGATCATAATGGTTAAAATGTTTTGAAATTTTCTATGTATTCATTGCATGTATAAAGACGATATTTGGTGTTGCTTTTGCCTTTTGGTCTGCATCACTGCCACGAGCATTTTGTATCTTCTTTGGTCCATTTCTCTACTCCTCCAATGTATTCAATGTCCTCAAAATATGACTTCGTAAAGGATCTTAATCCGACGAAAGAAGAGTGGAGGATTAAAGTGCGTGTAGTTAGGTGTTGGAAGGTTCCCAGTTTTAATCAAAAAGATTTTGATGACAATGTGGATATGGTTTTGGTCGACGAACGGGTAATGTATTTTTTCTTTTTTTTCAATGTTTTTATCTTTTCAGTAGCTCATTGTCGGTTTTTTTTTTTTTTTTTTTTTGCTTTGTTGCGTGTTTTCATTTTATAGGGTGGAAGGATCCATGCTACGGCCAAGGGTACTTTGCAGGTTCGGAAGAAAATTCATGAGGGTGATGCTTATTTTATAAAAAATTTTGGAGTTGGGTTGAATACGGGTAATTTCAGGCCAACACGACATTTGTTTTAAATTATTAGAAATTTTAAATCAGCTGACTCATTAAATGAGATGACCAATTTCAATGTGAAGGTAAGTGGCACATTAAATACTTTTTCTGCCACCACATTTGTTTTAAATTATTAAAAATTAAAATTGATTTCTGATTTTTAAAAGATAAATCGAAAAAATTAATGGAATAAAAATTTAATTTTCCATTTTTTTCCGTATTTTAAAATATTTAATAATTCCAATGTAAAAACAGCTCAGTCATTAAAACAGGTGAGTCATTCCATTTCAAAATTCAAAATTTTACACCACAACTTAATTGAATAAAAAATTAATTTTCCATTTTTTTTCGTATTTTAAAATATTTAAAATATTTAATAATTCCAATGTAAAAACAGCTGAATCATTAAAACAGGTGAGTGATTCCATTTCAAAATTCAAAATTTTAAATCAGCTGACTCATTAGATGAGATGACCAATTCCAATGTGAAGGTAAGTGGCGCATTAAATGTTTTGTCTGCCACCTCATTTGTTTTAAATTATTAGAAATTTTAAATCAGCTGACTCATTAAATGAGATGACCAATTTCAATGTGAAGGTAAGTGGCACATTAAATGCTTTGTCTGCCACCACATTTGTTTTAAATTATTAGAAATTAAAATTGATTTTCGATTTTTAAAAGAAAAATCAAAAAAATTAATTGAATAAAAAATTAATTGTCCGTTTTTTTTTTGTATTTTAAAATATTTAATAATTCCAATGTAAAAACAGCTGAGTCATTAAAACAGGTGAGTGATTCCATTTCAAAATTCAAAATTTTAAATCAGCTGACTCATTAGAAGAGATTTTCAATTCCAATGTGAAGGTAAGTGGCGCATTAAATGTTTTGTCTGCCACCTCATTTGTTTTGAATTATTAGAAATTTTCAATTTCAATGTGAAGGTAAGTGGCACATTAAATGCTTTGTCTGCCACCACATTTGTTTTAAATTATTTGAAATTAAAATTGATTTTTGATTTTTAAAAGAAAAATCAAAAAAATTAATTGTCCGTTTTTTTTGTATTTTAAAATATTTAATAATTCCAATGTAAAAACAGCTGAGTCATTAAAACAGGTGAGTGATTCCATTTCAAAATTCAAAATTTTAAATCAGCTGACTCATTAGATGAGATGACCAATTCCAATGTGAAGGTAAGTGGCGCATTAAATGTTTTGTCTGCCACCTCATTTGTTTTAAATTATTAGAAATTTTAAATCAGCTGACTCATTAAATGAGATGACCAATTCCAATGTGAAGGTATGCGGCGCATTAAATGATTTGTCTGCCACCACATTTGTTTTAAATTATTAGAAATTAAAATTGATTTTTCGATTTTTAAAAGAAAAATCGAAAAAATTAATTGAATAAAAAATTAATTTTCCGTTTTTTTTTCGTATTTTAAAATATTTAAAATATTTAATAATTCCAATGTAAAAATAGCTGAGTCATTAAAATAGGTGAGTGATTATATTTCAAAATTCAAAATTTTAAATCAGCTGACTCATTAAATGAGATGACCAAATCCAATGTGAAGGTAAGTGGCGCATTAAATGCTTTGTCTGCCACCACTTTTGTTTTAAATTATTAGAAATTAAAATTGATTTTCGATTTTTAAAAGAAAAATCAAAAAAATTAATTGTCCGTTTTTTTTGTATTTTAAAATATTTAATAATTCCAATGTAAAAATAGCTGAGTCATTAAAATAGGTGAGTGATTATATTTCAAAATTCAAAATTTTAAATCAGCTCACTCATTAAATGAGATGACCAATTCCAATGTGAAGGGAAGTGGCGCATTAAATGCTTTGTCTGCCACCACATTTGTTTTAAATTATTAGAAATTAAAATTGATTTTTTGATTTTTAAAAGAAAAATCGAAAAAATTAATTGAATAAAAAATTAATTTTCCGTTTTTTTTTCGTATTTTAAAATATTTAATAATTCCAATGTAAAAACAGCTGAGTCATTAAAACAGGTGAGTCATTCCATTTCAAAATTCAAAATTTTACACCACAACTTAATTGAATAAAAAATTAATTTTCCATTTTTTTCGTATTTTAAAATATTTAAAATATTTAATAATTTCAATGTAAAAATAGCTGAATCATTAAAACAGGTGAGTGATTCCATTTCAAAATTCAAAATTTTAAATCAGCTGACTCATTAGATGAGATGACCAATTCCAATGTGAAGGTAAGTGGCGCATTAAACGTTTCGTTTGAAGTTATTTTTAATGCTCCCCTGAATTTCGAATTAGTGTGTTGGACTTTTAAATTTTTAAACAAATTAATAAATGCCAATAAAAGCGGTAGATTGGTCGATTTTTTGTAACGAGGAGCTATTGACATTTTCCTTATTCTGTGGCCTATTATCATGTGTTGAACTTTGACAGTGTACCAAGGCCTTAATATTTGTTTTTTAATATTTTGATATCAACTTCGCTTCTTCATTTGCAAACCCTTTTGTTTATTTCCTTTGCATCCCATAATGAGTAGTAATCTATCAGCAATGAAAACTACTTCGCGAAAGAGACGACACAGTCATGAAAGGTTTGCACTGAAAGGTACGGCAGAAACAATATGCTTCGTTTTCTTTGTTGAAGTATATTACCATCTGATTTTTGTTTTCGTTATTGTGTAGAAAATGTTCCTACATTTTCTGCTTCTCCTTTTCCCAGGCAAGTTCTCTTTATCATTTTTTCTTGTGCAGCAAAATTATCAGTAAGAATAGCATGTGTGTTATTATTATTTAACGTTTTAATTTTATTTTGTATACTATTTAGCATTTCTCAAGTAACCAATGTGGGGAACGATTGCACATGCAGTAGACAGTGTATTCTTGATACTTCCGATGGTAATAAAAAAAATGTTCTTTTTTTATGTTTACATTATCTTTTATTTTCTTGGTTATTTAGCATCATAGTCGATCTTTTTTTTTTACCATGTTTGTTGCTTTTATTTTATGAACAGAGATTCCTTGGAGAAATACAAAAAAAAAAAAAACGAGTTGTTTCAATGAGTTATTAAGTAATTCCTCCCCTACAGAGTGTATACCAAATTTACTGTCAATTGGTATGACTAAGTTATTATTCTGCATTATATTCCTATCTTAATTTTATTATTCATATTCCTCATATACTTTGTCTCCGTGGTCTAATTGTTATTATTCATATTGTCAAGAAGATATTTCTGCTGCTTCTCCCTCCAATTTTGGAACGTAAGTTGTCTCCCTCAAATGTTAATTTACCAAAAACCAAAGTGAATAATCTTTACTCCTTGCAGTTATTAGACATCATCATACCAATTTACTTTTTGTTGTTTTCAACAAGCAGTCTTTCTGAAATTACCAATATGCATAGTGGTGGTAGCAGTTGTAGACACCCTCTTCGTGATATTTCTAATGGTCAGCAAACTTCTTCTTCAACTGTGTTTATGAAATTTGTTCCGTGACTTCCTGATATAAAATGTCATTTTTTTATTACTGACATGAAAATTGAACTTATGGTCTCAATTTTGTCTAGGGAATCCTTCTTCGTGCTCGAACTCACCCGTTGATAGATAAGAATTTTTCATTTTTTTTTGTAGAGCTACAAATTTGCAATTGCACATTACTGTAATTTAGTGTGACTGTCTGGACCGAGCAGGCTTAATGAAATAAACGACGTACGAACAAATTTAACTTTTCCCTCCCCAATTGCTGAAGTAGTTAATAATTCAAATCCACATCGAGGTAATCTTTAATGAAAAAATCCTTTTATTGTTTCGATATATCATGTTATAGAATAAGATGATAAAAATTTATTATGAATTATTATAATAATACTATAGTTCTTATCTTTTTTGTAGATAGCAAAAATGCTAGGATGAGACGCAAAGGAATCATTGCTCAGAGGAAGAATTCAAAGAAATTTACAAGCACACTCAATTCCATTAGTAGAATGGCTGATTTAACAGGTTAGTTTACCTGTGAGTTTAAACATTTAATACGTCATTACTACATGGATATGGATTTCAACGTTTGAGTTTTTTTCTAATGCAATGCTTAATAGGGTGTCCAATCTGTATTTTTTAATGTTTGAATAGAGATTAATGCTGAGGATGCAATCACCATGCGTTCAACTGTTACTGTGTTATCTAAAGAGAAATTCGTGTCAGGGAATGATAACTGCCCAAGTAGTACTTCAACTTATGTCTGTCAACAAAGTAAGATCAACGTATACTATTTCGCTCAATGTTTTTTAATGATGTTTGACAAGAATATTTTTTTTTTCTACCGTCCTATGTTATATTTTTAACCAAGCCGTGTTTGCTACAGACACCAATTCACCCGATCAGCCTGTGTTAGACATATCTTCTGTCAACGAAGGTCGTTGTATAAATTAATTTGATTATTTTTTATTCTGAATTATAATTTTCTTTGTAATATGACTTTTTGCTCTTTGAATATATGTAGATTATTGGGACGTTGGGGATCCCACTTTCATCTGCACGCATTGTGGAGCAAGTATGTGGTATGAAGAGAGACTTAAAAAAGACAGAAAGTCATGCACGCCTGAGTTCGGTTTGTGCTGCGGCAATGGAAAAGTTAAACTTCCTTCTTTAAAAATGGCTCCAGATACATTGCTTCAACTGCACAATAATGAAGATATAAGGAGCCGTCATTTTTTACGATATATTCGAACGTACAACATGATTTTTGCCTTCACCTCCTTCGGTGCAAAAGTTGATAGATCCGTAAATGAAGGTTCTGGACCTTACTGTTTTCGAGTTGGAGGACAGGTTCATCATTTAATGGGCAGCCTTATTCCGCCTGATAACACGTCTCCAAAATTTGCTCAACTTTATATCTACAATACCGAGAATGAAATTGACAATAGATTGGATTTTCTAAGGCATTGCTCTTTGTTTATTTTCGCATTTTTTGTGCATTGAAGTGTATTATCTGTGTTATTATAGTTAGTTTACTAACGATTACATGTTATTGGAAATGCAGTCCCACAAACAATGAAGACATCCTAGATCCCGATATTGTGAGATCTTTGAAGGAAATGCTAGATGAGCACAACAGAATTGCGCAATCTTTTCGGTATGCTAGAGACCGTTATAAGGAAGATGACTTCAATGGGGTGAAGTTGAGGCTTATTCGAAAGCGTGGTAGCGATGGAAGAGTTTATAATCTTCCCTCTGCATCTGAAGTTGCTGCTTTGATTGTAGGAGATATAGACAACGTCATGGGTGACAGAGACATCATTGTGGAGACACAAACCGGACTTTTGCAGCGCATTGATGTCAAGCATCCCCTATATCTTGGCTTACAATATCCTTTGTTATTTCCTTATGGAGAGGATGGTTATCGCGATGATGTCCAGCGTGCTTCCATTTCCAGTGGTAGGACAAACCCAAGATCAACGATTAGCATGAAAGAATTCTTTTCGTTTAGGCTTCAAATGAGATCAGGGGAGTCCCAAATTCTTCTTCACTCCAGAAAACTATTCCAGCAATTCCTGGTTGATGCTTATACTATGGTTGAGTATGACCGTCTTATTTTCATTCGCCATAATCAAAATCAACTAAGGGCAGAGTTGTACAAAAATATAATACATGCATCGGATAAAGGGGAGGATGCAGCTGTTAAAACTGGAAAGCGTATTATTCTTCCTTCTTCATTCACAGGCGGACCTAGATATATGGCTGAGAATTGTAAGGATGCTTTTGCAATCTGCCGTTGGGCTGGATATCCTCATCTTTTTATAACAATTACCTGCAATCCTAAGTGGCCAGAAATTACACGGTTTCTTAGGGCCAGAAACTTAAACGCTGAAGATCGACCTGATATTCTTTGCAGAGTTTTCAAGTTCAAGTTAGACCAATTGCTCCATGATTTAAAAAAAGAACATGTTCTTGGCAGAGTTAATGCATGTAAGTATATGGGCAAAATCAATTTTTACAACTTTACTGGAACCCACAAATGCTCTATATGTATTATTGTCTTCTAATCCAGCCTTTGATCGTTTATTGAACTGTAACAGATGTTTGTACAATTGAATTTCAAAAACGTGGACTCCCTCATGCTCATATTCTGTTGTTCTTGCACCCTTCTAACAAGCCCAACAGTGGACTTGATATTGATAGATTGATTTCAGCAGAGATTCCTAACAAGGAAACCCATCCTTCTCTCTTTCTTGCTGTCACAAGTTACATGATGCATGGTCCCTGTGGTGCTAACAATTACAAGTCACCTTGCATGAAGGAGGGAAAGTGTACAAAGAAATTTCCAAAGGGTTTTTGTTCCCGTACGATTATTGATGATGACGGATTCCCTCATTATAAGAGAAGAGATAATGGGAGGGTTGCGAAGAAAAATGGTGTTGAACTTGATAATCGTTTTGTTGTGCCTTATAATGCAAAACTCCTTTTAAAGTACCAGGCTCATATTAATGTGGAATATACCTGTCAGACCAGTGCTATTAAATATCTTTTTAAATACATTCATAAAGGAAATGATAGAGTTACTGCTGCTATACATCATTCAGATGATGAAATTAAAATGTTTTATGATTGTAGGTACTGAAATTAATCTCCATTAGCTTTTGAATTACTGTGCATGTATTACTTTTTATACTAGACTCCATTTAACATAATTCTTTATTTATGATAGGTATGTATCCGCATGTGAAGCTGCTTGGAGAATATTTGGATTTGAAATTCATTACAGAAACCCCCCTGTGATGAGATTGCCATTTCACTTACCCAATGAAAAGACCGTTGTTTTTCATGATACTGCATCAATATCTGAAGTAAAGACAAGGGAGGAGTTTAGACAATCAATTTTTGAGAGTTGGATGGATGCAAATAAAAAATTTCCAGAAGGTAGGCATCTTACTTATGCTGAATATCCAACTCATTTTGTTTATAATGCAAATAGTCAAGAATGGCATCCTAGAAAAAAAGGATTCTCAATTGGAAGAATAAATCGTTTTTCTACAAATAGTGGAGAAGATTCCTATCTTCGAATGCTTCTTAATTTTAAAAAGGGTTGCACAAGTTACGAGGACCTGAGAACTATCAATGGGGTGATGTTTCCAACATTTAAAGATGCTTGCTATTCTCTTGGACTTTTGGATGATGACAATGAATACATTGATGCAATTAAGGAGGCAAGTTCTTGGCAGTCAGCTTCTTATCTTAGACGTCTTTTTGCTCTGTTGTTGTTCGGTAACTCAATGAATAGACCTGAAAATGTTTGGGGGAAGTGTTGGCAATTTCTCTCTGACGATGTTCTTTATCGACATAGAACAACAGTAGGACATCCAGGTATTCATTATGAACATATCGTATGCATTATAATTTTTTTTATCATTATTTTTTTCTGTTGAATATACTGCTTTTTGTGGTAAAAATAATGTACCATGAGTCCTGTTAGAATTGTACTTTCAATTGTCATTTTTTCATTGTTTTCCACGTTTCTACAGATGCAAATCTTACTGAAGAACAAATAAAAAACACAACACTTGCTGAAATTGATAAAGTGATACAGAGTAATGGAAAATGCCTTTCTGATTACCCTTCAATGCCCTGCATCACTGGTGCATCGTTGCTTGATATGCACAATTGCTTAGTGCTTGATGAATTACTGTATGACAGATTGTTTTTGGTTGAAGAACATAAAAGACTAATGAGTTCCCTTACAGATGAGCAAAAAGTTGTCTATGACAAGATAATTTCAGCAGTTTCAGTGGGTACAGGGGGATTCTTTTTTCTATACGGCTTTGGTGGTACAGGAAAAACATTTATTTGGAATACATTGTCAGCATCCATTAGATCAAAAGGCGAAATTGTACTTAATGTTGCTTCTAGCGGGATTGCATCACTTTTGCTTCCTGGAGGCCGGACAACACACTCTAGATTTCGTATTCCAATTCAGATCACTGAGGATTCAACCTGTAATATACGGCAGGATTCTAATATTGCCGAATTGCTGGCGAAAACAAAGCTAATCATCTGGGATGAAGCTCCAATGGTACACAGATTTTGCTTTGAGGCTCTAGACAAAACACTTAGAGATGTTCTTAGATTTTCTGATTCAAGTTGTGTTGATAAACCATTTGGTGGGAAAGTTGTTGTTCTTAGGGGTGACTTTAGGAAAATCTTACCTGTTGTTCCTCATGGAAGCAGACAAGATATAGTCCATGCAACCATTAATTCTTCTTGTCTTTGGTCTCATTGTCATTTATTAACTTTGACCAAGAACATGTGGCTTAGTTCTGGAAGTGACATTCACAATTTAATGGAAATAAAGGAATTTTCTGATTGGCTTCTTAAAGTCGGGGATGGTGTTCTTGGAGATGATGTGGATGGAGAATCTATTATAACAATTCCAGATGAATTATTGATTAAAAAAATCACTGAATCCACTTTCAAATTTGATGGATTTTGTGTACCCTGATATCTTGGATCATATTTTAGAACCCACATTCTTTAAAGAACGTGCCATTCTGACTCCAAAATTGGCAGATGTTTCTATTTTAAATGAGAACTTAATGTCTTTGATTCCAGGTGACGAAAGAATATATTTAAGTTCAGATAATATTTTGAAGCAAGACGGTAATTCTTCCCTTGAGGATGATGAATTCTCACCTGAGATCTTAAATACCTTCTCCTGTTCTGGGCTTCCGGATCATAAATTAATTTTGAAGGTCAAAGTTCCAGTCATGCTATTAAGAAATATTGACCAATCAAGAGGTTTATGCAATGGAACAAGATTACTTATTACAAGATTAGGCAATCATGTGGTTGAGACAACTGTTCTTACAAGAAGCAATATAGGAGAAAATGTGTTAATCCCTAGAATGACAATGAGCTCCTCAAGTCATTCTTTTCCTGTAAATTTCCAAAGAAGACAATTTCCCCTCGTCGTTTCGTTTGCCATGACAATCAATAAGAGTCAAGGACAATCGCTTTCTCATGTTGGAATTTATCTACCCAGGCCAGTCTTTAGTCATGGGCAATTATATGTGGCACTATCCCGAGTAAAGAGCAAAAAGGGATTGAAGATTTTGATAGTTGATGATGATGGTTGTGTAACAAACAATACCTTTAACATAGTCTACAAAGAAGTATTTCAGAGATTACTGTGATTTATATTGCTTCAGTCGATTGGATATAACGTTGCTCTTTGGTACAGGTAAAATCTGCATTCCTTAAGTTATATTTTTTTCAAATGTTGATTAGCGTTGGATTTTGATTATTTTTATACTGTATTTTTAAAATATGATTCTGAAATTCGTAATTTATATTGCTTCAGTCGATTGGATATAACGTTGCTCTTTGATACAGGTAAAATCTGCATTCCTTAAGTTATATTTTTTTCAAATGTTGATTAGCGTTGGATTTTGATTATTTTTATACTGTATTTTTAAAATATGATTCTGAAATTCAAAAGCAAAAAACCACATTGAATAATACTTCTGGCAATTACCTGTTCAGTTCTTCTGTTCTTTATTCCCTAAATCATATGTTATGCTAACATATACTGTTTTTATTTCTTTTATAGTTAGCAGGCTGATGTCAGAGATATTTTGCTGGAACACCGAATTGTATCATGTTATTTGTGAATTATTAATTGTGAGCAGTTTTGACATTATGACATTTAAATTGTTTTTACATTGACATTATTCTATTTATCACTTTTGCAATTGGACGTGAAGGTTACTCGATACAATTAAACGTTTCATCCTACAAAATTTTATTTTACTTTTTTATTTTTCTGAATGCTACAGCCTTTTCAAGTTAAAAATTATAACAATACAATTATTTTTTATTATGATATTATTATTAAGAGTTTCATATCAAGATCAACGTGTGGATTTACCAGTAAGACGACACACCAACGACGGCGACAACGATTTTGTTCTTTTTCCCCCGAGCATCGCACGGGTAATTCACTAATAAAATATAAAATTAAATGCATGAAATCCATTTCAGTACCTCCGCAGTACTGAACATCCTCCTTGAATTTATAATTTTTCATAAATTATAACTCTCAATATAAAGTTTGTAACTTTTTTTCCATATCATAAAAATTACAAGCTCGTGAAGAAAACAAAATTATAAAGTCATTGAAGGTGGTAGGTTCTACGGTAGTGCTGAAGTGAGACCCCAAATGAAATCTTAACATTTGTTCCCAACACACTAAATAAGTAATTGAAAAATACTATTCTCATTTTACTTGAGGTAACTATCTCATATTATCTCACTTCAAAAATCTCATTCACTCTTTTTTTTTTATTCTTTAATTATGGATCTCATGTGATTTCTCTCTATAACATGAGAAAATTACTCTCATGTAAAATGAGAGTAACATTTTCCTAAGTAATTACATCAAATTCAAATGAAAATAGTATAATCCATACGAGACAATAACTTTCAAATCATTAGTTACGCTTTTCACGTATTAAATTTGATTTCACAAATGCACCTAATTTAACAGGATTAATATGCTCACCTCTGATGTGGAATTCAAATTGTGTTAGCCGAGGCGAATTAGCAAATTAATCCAAGGAACACAGCAACCAAAGTCATTAATATAAGCATATCACATTCTCAAGGGTAAGCATAAATTCAACCAAACATATCCTAATTAATTCCCAGAAAAAGGAACTCTTTCTACCATATAATACAGTAATTTGTCATTGTAATCGATATGCTCACATACAAGGGCAGCGCCAATGGAAAAAATAGCAGTATAAAAATGTTAAGTAATAAATATCATAATGAGAAAGGTTTTCTATATACATCGAATTGTTCGCAAGCTGTTAACTGTGGTTCCTGTTGAAATAAAAGAAAAGGGGAAGGAAAAACAATAAATAGCAGGAGTTAGTTCAATTATAAGAACCTTTCAATAGACCCAAATCTATAAAGAACAGTAATATGATCAGAAAAAACCATTTTAACCTGTCTCAATCCACCAACAGTGAGACTACCTCCGGTCAAAAGCATGGAGAGAAGAGAGGTTACTACGCCTCCACCCACAATACCACCACCATCATTGCCGGCATTTCTGATGGCAGTGCGCATTGCAGTAAGAATGCTGCCATACGTAGCCCCATGACCCCGCTCTATGGCTTGGATGAAGCAAAACGTCATGGCCCCAGTTGATGTAATCTTGGATAGTGCCTGTTTACAGTGATAGTGATCATATTCTCAGACAACAGGTTTCACAGGCATAGATTGAAACAGTCTCAGACAGATATCAATGTGAATTTTCCGAAACTTACAGATGTATCAGCTGAAGTTTGATCATCGTCGCATCCACTAAAGCAGATAGCTTCTCCACCATTTGATCCCTTCCATATACCTGACCTAGGGCGATGATCCTCCCATACATATTGTCCACTCCTATTGCAAAGAAGATAGAAACAGAGTAAAAACCAGGTATTAGAGAACGACATTTATTTCATGGAAAGAAGAAGACTACTGCATGTATTCAATCATAAAATAAAGCAAAAATCATATTTGAAAAACATTCAAGAGAAAAAAAAAAGGGCAAACCCTAGTGCACAAAGCTCCACAACTTGTGATGATAGGAGTGAGAGTTGATTGTATACAGTCTTACCTTTAAATGTTTACAAATAGACTATTTCCCAAAATTGAACCTGTGACCTTCCAGTCACAAAGAGCAACTTTACAATTTTTTTTCTCTGGAAAAAAAGAAGTACAAAATGCATATCTTCATCAAACTCTCCTCCCATCTTAAGACTCCAGTTTTTGAGGGAACAAACGCAAAGAAGAAAAAATAAAAACAATAAGCCTTATCCCAGTTGGTGGAGACAACTACATAGTTCAATGGACAGCATCAGTATCAAATGATTCAAATCTTATTGATTTGTTTTCTTCTCCCGTAACAAAACAACCTTAGCTGAGTTAGTCATTATTTACTCAAATATGTGACACTCCATCTTTCTTTGGTATACAATATTTCCTATTTTTTTATCTGAAATTATAAATCCACTCATCTACCTCCGTATTCTCTTACATGCTATACTTACTTTCTTCTCTTGTTGACACTTCATTGCCCAACATTCACTACCATAGAGCATTACTAGTGTTATATCTGCTCGGTAGAATTCTTCTTGAGTTTGGTAGACATTGGCAGTTTGCAATCACAAATTATGCCTGAAGCATATCTCCATTTCGTCTTACCTAGCTTGAATCCTATATGCAACATCCCCATCAATCTCCCAATCACTTTGCAATTATCAATTCTCAGCTCCAGATTATTGAAAATTTGTGCCGTTACTGAACTTGCATTTCAACTGGGATTGCATGATTGCATCATCCAAAAAAAGCATGCCTTGACACACTGACTCTAGGATGTGCAAATTGAGAAGGTATAGACTCAATCAACCCTTGGTCAAACCTATTATTATAGAAAAATCTTTTGTTAACATCCATGAGGGAACACGTTAATTGTTATCTATACTAGAAAAGAAGATAAGTATATTATTGAATTGTATAATATTTATACAAGAGTTCTCTATTTAAAGAGACTAAAAAACCTAATGGGCTAAGCCCAAATACACTTATAGAGTATTCTAACTATTACAAAATAATAATAAAATAATTCTAATATTTACAATACTCCCCCTCAAGCTGAGGAATGGATATTTATCATTCCCAGCTTGGTAGTAAATTCTTGAAATCTATCATTAGGAAGACCCTTAGTTAAGACATCAGCCAATTGACGACCAGAAGGAATATATGGAGTAGTGATAAGTCCACTGTCTAATTTCTCTTTAATGAAGTGGTGATCAATCTCAATATGTTTGGTTCGATCGTGTTGAATTGGATTGTGGGCTATACAGATAGCTGACTTGTTATCACAAAATAACTTCATAGATCCTTCATATCTCACCTTGAGATCATCGAGAATGATTTTCAGCCATAATAACTCACAGATACCTTGAGCCATAACTCGAAATTCTGCTTCTGCACTTGATCTAGCAACCACATTTTGTTTTTTACTTCTCCATGTTATAAGATTACCACAGAGAAACATACAATAGCCCGAAGTAGACCGTTGGTCAGTCACGGATCCAGCATAATTGGCGTCTGTATAAACTTCTAAGGATAGGTTTCCTCTTCTCTGGAACAATAGTCCTCTACCTGGTGTGCCTTTCAGATATTGGAGAATCCTGTCCACAGCTCGCAAGTGTTTCTCCTTCGGATCATGCATAAATTGACTAATAACACTAACTGCATAAGCTAGATCAGGTTTAGTATGAGCTAGATATATCAATCTTCCCATTATTCGTTGATATTGTTCTTTGTCAACTGGAGAGCTCTCATTTGCACTTCCTAGTCTGTGATTATGCTCAATCGGAGTACTGGAAGGTTTATACCCAAGTTTTCCTGCTTTTTTAACGAGGTCAAGAACTTACTTCCTTTGACAAATAAATATCCCTTACTTTGAATGAGCAACTTCTATCCCAAGAAAATATCTCAGTTTTCCAAGATTTTTAACTTCAAATTCAGCAGTCAGTCTTTTTTTCAGAGCATATTTCTCACCTATATCATTCCCTGTTACAATAATGTTATCAACATAAACTAGAAAGATAGTGGTCTTACCTTCCTGAGAATGTTTAAAGAAAAGTGTATGATCCCCTTGGCTTTGCTTGTATCCCAATGAAAGCATAACTTCGGTAAATCTTCCAAACCAAGCACGCGGGGATTGCTTCATGTCATACAATGCCTTCTTTAACCTGCAAACTTTATTATCTCCATTTGTAGAGTTAAATCCTGGCGGAATCTCCATATAAACCTTCTCTTCTAATTCACCATTGAGGAAGACATTTTTCACATCAAATTGATTCAAATCCCAACTAAAATGAGCAGCGAGGGACAATAGAACTCTTACAGTGTTCATTTTGGCCACTGGAGCAAATGTTTCTTCGTAATCAATGCCATAGGTCTGTGTGTATCCCTTGGCTACCAATCGAGCTTTATACCTCTCAAGAGTCCCATCAGAATTATACTTCGGAGTATACACCCATCTGCACCCTACTGTCCTTTTTCCATTTGACCTGCCAACAACTTCCCATGTATTATTCATCTCCAATGCATTCATCTCCTCATGCTTGGCTTGAACCCAATTATCATCCTTTAATGCTTCATGTACTAATTTCGGGATTGAAATGGAGTCAAGTGTTGTAATAAAACTTCTATGCTGCGTAGAGAGATTCTTAGAAGAAACAAAATGAGAAATAGGGTGTTGGGTACAAGACTTTTTACCTTTCCTTACTGCAATGGGTAAGTCATCAGAATTAATATCAGGCTCAGGAATAAAAGAAGTAGTGTGTTCAGTACTTATCAGCGATTCAGGCGATTGCAATTGCTAGTGGGGCAGTGTGGGTTGTTTCTTCCTTTGGTACAATAGTTCGGGTGTCCCATCTTTGCGTACTTTCTGTCTATCAACAGGAGGCATGTCACATGAGGAATCAGATGAATTTTTAGCCTCAACAATTAAGTCTTCCTTCTCATTGTCATGTAGTGTAACTACTGGAGTAGAAGATGTAGGTAACAGAAAGGGAGACTCAGACTCGAAGAAAATGGATGAAGCTTCTATACTATTCTCCCCCTGAAGCTGAGTGTGTAGAAAGTAAGACTCAAAATCATGGAAGCTAACATCCATAAAGACAAATAATTTATGACTTGGAGGGTGGTAACATTTGTATCCTTTCTTGTTGGGAGCATAACCAAGGAAGACACACTTAAGGGCTCTAGGATCAAATTTACTCCGATGTTGTTCATTGATATGGATGAAGGCAACACATCCAAAGATACGAGACTAGAGACTTTGCATAATTGGAACAGAAGGAAAAAAATAGGTCATGAGATCAACAGGACTTAAATGGCCAAGGACTCTGGAAGGCAGGAGGTTGATCAAATAAGCTGCAGTTAATAAGGCTTCTCCTAGGTAAGAGTTGGGTGCATATGTCTGAAACAATAATACTCTGGTGACTTCAAGCAAATGTCGATTTTTTCTTTCAGCAACCCCATTTTATTGAGGGGTATCCACACATGTGAGCTCATGAATCATATCCTTATCTGAAACGAATTGTGACAGACGCTGGTTGACATACTCCGTACCATTGTCAGATCTTAATCACTTAATACTTTTACCAAACTGTGTCTCGATCATTTGATAAAATCAAATAAACAATTCTGGTACTTCTGACTTGTCTTTACTTGAAAAGGATGAATGTATTGTATATTGTGTATAATGTTGTACAAGAGTCCTCTATTTAAAGAGGTTAAATGACCTAATGGGCTAAGCCCAAATAACCTTCTAGAATAATAAACTAATAATAATAAAACTAATATTATTTCTAACACTCCCCCTCAAGCTGGTGCGTATATATCATAAGCACCCAGCTTGTTACATATATGATCTATTCGGGGACCTCCAAGAGCCTTGGTGAAAACATCTGCAAGTTGATCACTGGAATTGACAAATGCTGTCTCGATCTCGCCTGACTGAATTTTCTCTCTAACAAAGTGACAGTCAATTTCTATATGTTTAGTCCTCTCATGAAAGACTGGGTTAGAGGATATGTGCAATGCGGCTTGATTGTCACAAATGAGTTTCATGGGCCGTTGTTCACAGAGATGTAATTCCTTAAGCAATTGCTTTAGCCAGATGAGCTCACAGGTCGCATTTCCCATGGCCCGATATTCTGCCTCTGCACTTGATCTGGCAACCACAGTTTGCTTCTTACTCTTCCAAGAGATCAAATTTCCTCCGAGGAGAACACAATACCCGGAGGTGGATCGTCTGTCTGAAGGAGAACCTGCCCAGTCAGCATCTGAATAGCTAGACACTTCTGCATTCCCCTTATTAGTGTATAATAAACCTCTTCCTGGTGCCTTTTTGATAAATCGAAGAATCCTGATAACTGCATCCCAATGAGAGTCACAAGGAGAGTCAAGGAATTGACTTGCCACACTAACTGAAAAAGAGATGTCTGGTCTTGTCACAGTAAGATAGTTCAACTTTCCAACTAGTCGGCGGTAACGACCAGGGTCTGCCAATGGCTCCCCCTGTCCAGGCAATAACTTAATATTAGGATCCATAGGTGTATCAATGGGTTTACATCCCAACATACCAGTCTCATCTAAGATATCCAGTGCATACTTCCTCTGACAAATAGAAATGCCCTTCCTAGACTGTGCTACTTCGATTCCTAAGAAATATCGAAGTCTGCCAAGATCTTTGGTCTGAAACTGATTGAATAAGTACTTCTTTAACTGATCAATCCCAGCTTGATCGCTGCCAGTAATAATGATGTCATCAACATAGACCAGGAGATAGATGCACTGGCCAGAAGAGCTATGCCGAT